AGTGATCCCCATTTTTCAATCCTCAAGAAATAACACCATTGTTAAATATACTGCAGTCTCTATTGAAACAGATTTAAAACAGACTGAACATTAGGCAGTGTCAATTAGGAAGGGAAAGAATTTCTGTAAAACCCTCTGATCCTGAATTTATATAGAAATTTCTGATGCCTCTTTCTTCCTGAAATGAGTGGTACTGTGTTTTGCATATAGTAGGCACTTGAAAAATGTCATCCTGCAATAAAAATTATGTTGAGGAAGGGCTCTGAAGGCCTGATGTGAGTCTTGGCTTGCTTGCTTGCTTATTCATTTTGTATTTGCAAGCCACTAAAATCTCTTTGAACATTGTGTCTTCCCATTTTGGGTGAACAGTGTGAACCGGGTGCACCCACCTCCTTATACTTTCGTAGATAAGAAATCCACAGAGGGAAGACCTTGGAGCTCAGAAAACGAAAGGGGTTGGATCACTGGTTAAGGAAGGAAGAACCATATGGGGGACATTTTTAGTTGAGGATCTAGGTATATTGCAGAGCAGAAGTCTGGTAAATTGGAAGGTGCAAACTTTGAAAGACTGACCAGGGTCTTAATCATAACAGAAATAGCTGCCACAAAACCATATAATTACAGGAAATAAAGGTGCAGATTTTCAAAGATAGGAAAAGCACAGCTGGAAGATGCCAATAACAAAGGAGAAAACTTTACAATTGAGGTAGCTTCTCTGCTATAAACCTATAATTTTTCTTATAGCTCACCTCTTTGATCTCTCTCCCATTTTTGGTAACTTAGCTAAGAAAACTGTTTCACCTTTTCTCCTGATTGCTCAGCATTCTTCCCATCCCAACCGTTTCCTCTTCACTGTGTCATTTTCAGTCATAATTCATGAGATCATGAACTCTGCTAGAGATAGATATGCCTGGGTCATTTTTTCTAGGATATTTTTCTGACTTTATTGTAAAAGATAACACCCGACAATAACAAAATCTCAAAAGATCTTGCTTGTCTTTATACAATACTAAGGATTCTTATTGCACTCTGTATCAGTCAACTATCACCCTAAGAGACCACTCCAAAGATTAGTGGCATACCAAAACATTATCATGTTCATGATTTGCAGGTTGGTTGGGTGACTCTTCTCCATATATGTTTCATTCTTCTGTTACAATGGTTCTTCATTCTTGGGAGACAGCTGGGCCACCCAGGTCATATTCTTCTTACGAAAGTTGCAGAAGTTCAAGAGGGGCAAGCCCAACTGTGCAGGCACTTTTCATTTCTTCTTGCATGCTGTCTGCTAATATGTCACTGGCCAAAGCATATCACATGGCCAAGCTCATCATCAATGCAGCAAGGAAATATTTAGTGTCTGTAGTAGAAGGAAGTGGAAAGTGGCAAGGGGTATGGATACAGAGGTAGAAAATTGGGAGTCTGACAATTTGGTAATCTGGTGGCTGTTACATTGTGTTTACACTTTACCTTATAGTCATTAATGTGTGTACATATACTCTTTTGGTATTCCACCACTCTAGCTTAATATGATTTTGTAAAAATAACTTCAATATAGTTTGTATATTTCCTATTTAAAAATATACAGTTATTTACTTAACTCAAATTGTGCATCTAGGTCCATGTGTATGAATCATTTGATATGATTATTAAAAATATAGATCCCTTAATCTTAATTCAGAACTCCTAGAATCACAGTCTCTGGGGGTGGGGCCTGGGGATCTTTATTATTAACAAACTCATCCTCTGCACATTAAAGTTTAGAACCTCCTACTTAGTGAAAGGACATTTACATTGTTTCGGTGTTTTCAGCTTTATTAATAATAGCAGCATTTGTATAGATGACTTATTTCTTTGGGGTATTCAGTCTTTCCATGATTGATAATTAAATAATTTACAGTTGAGGGAAATAATAACTGTGAAAAGATTGAAGTTTGGGGTGCGGGCACTAGTGAGATTATAAACAGGCTTATAAAATCTTTTAAGTATTTTATGTTTACTAAAATAAGACATTGCATTAGATAAGGAGAATTTCTGAAAAGTTTTTCTATTTCTTTATAGAATGTTAGGTATTGCATAATTTAGTCATGGTTCCCTGCTAGTTATTGGTAATTTTAAAAATGAAAGTAGAAAGTTGACAAGCTTAAAGAGAATTTTACTTTTCTTGTATTTCAGCCCTATAAATTTAGCAGTTTAGTTCATTTATTCAACTATTTTGATTCTTCAGGCATTTCTTATGACCTTGTCTATCTACTTTATTATATATTTTATTGTTAAATAGTCTTGGTCTTTTCAGCTCTTTAATAAGATTTTTGTGGAAGTGAAAATTCATAGAGAGCATGGCAGATACTGCCAGTGCCTATCCAGTATACAGTCTTCCCTTTTTCCTTACCAGCAGAATCCTGATTTCATTTTCAGAGCAGCTTTTTGCCTAGCTGAAAAATACATTTCCCAACCTCCTTTGCAACTATGACTCACTGCACAGCTTTGTTCTGCTCAGTGAGCCTTTAAGTGAAAATTACAGATCGGGCTTGTTAAAGAAGGCAGACATCTTTTGTCCTTCGCCCTTCCTTTATCTTTCCAAAAACTTGGACAGGATGCTGGAGGAGGAGACATAGAGTGACAGACATTTGATGAATGTCATATATAAGAATGTTTAGTGGGAAGACAGAGGAGCTTAGATCCTTGATACGGTGTGGGATGTCCTTACTAGATCTGGATTGCTCACCTCCTGTCTAAATTATATTAGGAGAAAAAGACACTGCAGTATATTGAAGCTACTATATTTAAATGGGATTCTGTTACATGTAGTTGAATGTAATTTCTAACTTATACATGTAGTTTCTGTAAAAGATATTTAGACTAGGTTATCTCAAACCTGGCTTTTAAATTGCTTTATTTTTTCATTTTATTTTGTAGTTTGTTTAGGACCATTTACTTCTGAATGTATATACAGCTGACTCTTGAACAATACAGAGGTTAGGGACACATACCTCTGTGCAGTTGAAAGTCTGTGTTTAGCTTTTGACTCCCCAAATACTTAACTCCTCATAGCCTACTGTTGACTGAAAGCCTAAAGTTGACAACATAAACAGTTGATTAACACATATTTTTTTATATGTGACATGTATTCTTAAAATAAAGTAAGCCAGAGAAACGAAAATGTTTTTTCAAATTGTCACAAAATCTCCAAAAAATTTTCCCATATATTTGTTGAAAAAAAAAAATCCATGTTTAATTGTACCCCCACAATTCAAACCACATTGTTCAAGGGTCAGCTGTACATTATCCATATTTAAATTGTCAACGTGTTTGGAGATGCACATTTTATAATTCTGTCAACAAATCTGTGTACAGGACATTTTAAAACTATTTTTAAGTAATTTTAAATTTAAAGTTATAAGAATAGTAAAAAGAATTTCCATGACTTTTTTTTCTGAAAAATATTTGGGAGTAGGTTGCAGACAGCATGCCTCTTTACTACTTAAATATATCAGAGTGTATTTTCTAAGAAAAAAGATATTTTCTTAACTATAGTGCAGTTATCAAATTTAGGAATTTAATGTTAATGCAAACTGGTACTAAGCAGTCCATATTCATATTTCTTTAGTTGTCGTAATATCCTAAATATAGTGATTAGTGTGAGATACAGTTTGGTCTCTCATATAACATTTGGTTGCCATGCCTTTTTGGTCCCTTTTAATCTAGAAAGTCATCCTTTGTCTTTCATAATACAGACATTTTGAACATAACAGAATTATTTATTTTCAAAAATATCCCTCAGTTTGGATACCTGATGCTTCCTCTAGATTAGATTCAGGATAATATAACAATATAATATAACCCCGTATTATGTATTCCTATAATGTAATATTACCCCGTAGGTGATAGTGTCTTCTTGGTGTATCATATCAGGAGGCACATACTGTCATTTTATCCCATTATTGGTAATACTAATTGGTTGAGGTAATGCCTGGCAGGTTTCTTCATTATGAAGTTACATTCTTTCTCCCTTTTTAATTAGTAGAAAGAGTTTGAAACTATGCAACTATCTTGTTTCTCATAAAACTTTCACCCAATAGTTTCAGTATCCATTCATAATCTTTGACTGAATTATTACTGAGATAAATGTAAAACATTTCAAGAAAGATTTCAGCAGATCCTTAAGGTTATTACTTGTTGTCCATATTATATCCATTGAGGTTTCTTTGTTTCATGGTGCTGTTGAACAGTTTTGGGGGACTTGTTTTAAGTAATAGATATAGTAAGGAACATATTTCTTAATTAGGGAAGTTCAGGGAAGATACAGGAAGTCTTACAGTGGAATCCTATCCCTCTGCCTCTTTTTCTAACAGAGTGTAATAGATTATGTAGGTCAAGAAAGTAAAAACAGATCTGGAGTGATTGGGGCAAATGATCAATACTATTTAGGATCTCTCTGACAGATTGGAGAAAGAGATGATCCTCTTTTTCCTCAAATAGATCTTAGGATCGGCATGATATAATAAAACCACATAGTGCATGGCTGGCCAAAAGTATGTCTTTTTAAACTTCCTAGGTGCTTGGATGCCGACTGACTTTAGGGACAGGGAAAGATTACTATAACTGTCTGGATCTCCTAGTCAAAATAACCAAGTAGATACCTGTTTGCCCTAGTGCCTTTTTGGGCCTAGTCATCATGTAAATCACTCTAGTTCTTGTTGGGAGATGTAAGTTAGGAAGTGAAGAATGGGCCAGAAACTGTTAATTCAGTAGGACTTCTACATATAGAAGTTACCTTTTGGAAATAGGAGAATGGAATAAGGGCTCCCCAGAGTGTGGTTCATTTTTCCTAAAAGAATGAAATTTGTTCAGTCTCTCTCAATTTCTATTTTTTTCTTTCTAACTCATTTATTTTGCATGTTCTGTTTCTTCTTTTTTTTTTAATCCAAAGATCTTTTCTTATCCTTATAAATTTTCAGATTTCAGAGTGTAATGATTTTTACTTTTTCCCCCTCCTTTAGCACCAGCAGACATTTTTTAATCAGCTGAGAGAAATTACTGGGATTAATGACGCCCAGATACTACAGCAAGCTTTAAAGGTATGGCCTCTGTTTCCTGACATAACAGTGTTTGTTACACTCTCAACTATATTGCCAACCATATTTGACAATTGAGTTTTTTAATACCATATGGTGTAGTAGTAGAGAAATGGGAAAGAGCTTTTATGAAGTAAAGTGGCTTACTTAACATGCTGCAATTTGAATTTTCAGGAACCTAATGTTCCAAGATACCTTGGAGTGACAGATAACCTCTCTCCATATGAAACATTTTTTTTCATGCAAAATGGAGGCTTGTGAATCCAAATACTAATGGCTGGTTTTACTCAAGAGCCATGAATTTACAGTTAAAATGGGGGTAGAGGTGGAGTGGGGTACAGAAAGAGGAAGGAGAAAAGAGAAGTAGAAAATTAACAGTGGGTCAAAGTCTTACATTTTTTCTTTATAAGAAGGAGAAACATAAATTAACTAAATTCAACTAAGTGCACCTGAACATTCAACATTAACCTGTTCAGTATATCGAGTGAATAATATGCTGCATTTGGTTGTGTCTTATGAAGCACCCTCATTTCTATACAGAAGCAATCAGATGTGCACACTGAAAAAGATCAGGTGAATGAAAGGTGTGTAAAAACACAACTGCATTTGAAGTTTATATGTTGCTACTAAAGACAAAAAACAGAATGGCATTTTTGCCACTATAGGCATTACACACAGCTTCAGTACTTTGGAATTTGCTCCATGAGAGAAAAATGTTATTTTGATTCTGAGCCAAAAGTTCTGTATTCGTTTCTAGAAATAATTTATATTTAGATGACTGTAATCATAATCATCATAATAATAGTGATGATGACTAGCACTTACTAAGTACTTACGGTACTAGGTGTATTCTTAGTATTTTATGTGGTAACATCCTCCTAATAATTCTATGAGGTATGTGTTTCACCTCTTTTTAAGAGATAAGGAAACAGGTTAAAGTGATTTGCTGAAGATCACACAGCTATGTGGAGAATCCTGAAGTACAAATCACGCAGCCTGATCCCAGAGTGCCACATTTAATTTCTTCTTTCATTAGAAGCTTTGCCTCAGCTTTCCCCATCAGAAAAATGATAAAACAGTACCGTTTAGAGCATTAATCAGTGTTTATGAAGCCACTGTATTTGGAGAGGAACTAAAAGTGTTGTACCTCAATTTTTATGGTTATGATACTTAGGTGATTGCTAGTCCTTTCTTTATTCTGGTAAATATGATTAAATTACTCTATGTCTACTTTCAGAAAGTGCCTTTTCTGTTCAGTATCACTGAGTGTGACGGCCACACACATTATCTTGTTAGGGCAAATTTGGTGAATTCACATTTCTTTAACTAGGGAAACGTAGAATATGTTTAATTACATAAGCATAATTAATCAGATTATTTTTTGTCAACATTTCCTTTAAGTTGTTTGTGTTGACTGTAGTTTTGTTTTTTAACTTTTGTTTCAGTTACCAGCAGCTGGTGAGGGGGTAGGAGGTAATGTACTTATACCTTAACTGTTGCCCTGTACAAGTGTGTAAGGTGTTATTAATAATAAGTTGACTCAGTGATACACTGACAAGGAGTTTACTTTTGGGAGCCACAATATTGTTGATTGAGTTCAGCAGTTTTATTTTATTTTGAAGATCTTCTTAGCCCTCTTTAAATTGTATACATCCCTGTTGAATTCAGTTATTATTATATGAGGTAATATATGAAAAGCACTTAGCACATTTCTTGGCATGTAGTAAGCTCAGTAAATGTTAGGAATGGTATTATAAATTATCTTCTGACTAATTTACTCACCTAACTATAAAACATGTTATGCTCATATTTTGGATGAGTCATTAAAAATCTTAGAATGGTTGTTAAAAATAACAAAGTTTAAAGCAGTAGTGCTTTTCAAACTACACTCTGACATTTTTTCTCTTCTCATCAGCTACTAGAATTAGAGTTGGGGTGGATTGTGGGATTTTCTAGTTGCTGAGGCCTCAAATCTTGGAATCATTCTGATCTTTCTCCTTCTATCACCCCACATTTAATATGATAGCAAATAGTGCTGTACTCTCTGCCTCTGCCCTTTCTCTCCTATAGTCTATTTTCAACACACAGCCAGAGCGATCTTTTTAAAATGTTAAGTCATACCATGTCATTTCTGTCCAGAACCCTCCACTGGCTTCTTATTACACTCTGTGTGTATGCTTAGCTTGTTAAGGCCTACACAGTCTTATGTGTTCTGGCTTTCTGTTACAAAGATTAACGTCATTATTAATATCTGGATTTCCTAATTGTTGAATCAGTTGTAATAGAGCTAGTGTTACATTTATTATTAATTATCCAGAGAATATAAAAATATATAACTGGGCAAGTCTCTTATTTTGCTGTTTCAAAATTCTTAGTTTTCTAGCCCCTGCTTTCTTCTAAATTACCTTCAGAATAATTTTGTTCAGGTATGCTTTTGATAAGAACTACATAAAATTTATATATTTACCTTGGGTAGGATTGTTATATTGACGATATTGAGTATTTCTGTCTAGGAGTTCTGTGTATCTCCCTAATATCAAGTTTCAGAACATTTTGCTGTTTTCTTCCTGTAGTCTTTGATATTTGCTTGTTGCTTGTTAAGTTTGCCTCCAGATACCTATTTAGCATCCATATTAAAGGGAATATGTTTTATTGTCCTTGTTTGCAGAAGTACTTGTTTAAATATTCATTTTTCACTTTTAAATGGCACATTCCAGAAAAAAATTTTTAGTTTCTTAAATTGTTTAAAAGTGTAAGTTTTTGATTGAATTTTGTTAAGCAAAAATGAAAGTCATAAGAATATAGATTTTTTTACATAATATTAGGAAAATAGAATTACTATTAATATAGTAAATGTTGTTTATGATGAATTTACACTGTAAAATTAGAATTAGAATAATTTCAAATCTGAATGATTTTTGCTATTAAATATTATAGAGAAAATTACTTAAGTCATGTGAGAATGTATAGAGTTATTTAAAAATATTTGATGTTCCATTCTTGATATTTGAAGGATAGTAATGGAAACTTGGAATTAGCAGTGGCTTTCCTTACTGCGAAGAATGCTAAGACCCCTCAGCAGGAGGAGACAGCTTATTACCAAACAGCACTTCCTGGCAATGACAGATATATCAGCGTGGGGAGCCAAGCAGACACAAGTAAGTTTATCTCTCTTAATAATTTAGTAAGAATGTAATGAAAAATCTTTGGGGGGAATCTGGTAGTACTTTTTTTTAAGCAGAGGTGAAGGACAGAAAAAAATACTTTAATTTTTATTCTTTTTAGTATAGTTGAAAGGAGCATGTGCTTTTTTGTTATGAGCTGCATTATGTTTTTTTTCCAGTTTAGAAGTAAAAGATTATACTTGTTATATATCTTTTCATAGAGCGTTTCATATAATATTCATTGTTTTGAAATACAAAACAGCTATAGCTGTTACTCATTAAAGAAACAAAAATTTCTAGGATTTTAGTGTACACAACCTTTTGTTTTATGGATTTTAAGTGTTGGTAGAGGCCTTCGTATAATTTTGAAGGTAAAGTATTGTTTCTCATCACTGATAGGCTTACCATTTAATAGATCTTTCCCTCTCTCAAACCCTGTCCCTCCCCTAAATAAAGATTTTAGAAAAGGTTTATTACCATGTAACAAAATAAACACACATATGTACACACACATACACGTATATACACATACATATTGAAAATTTTACATAGGAGTTTAATTTTACTTCAAAATATGAATACTTTATGCATATAGATACCCCTGCATCTTTCAAAATAGTTCAGTTACCTACATATCTCATTATGTTGTAATAAGTGCACTATATAAAATGGTAGTGCACTACATAAAATACATATGTTTTTATATAACAATAGAAAAATTTTATGCATTCTGGATTTAAGAAGTTTGATTGATAGCTTGTATTTGAAGAGAATTTCTGATTTTGTTTATAGACTTTGTCAAAGTTAGGAAACAACCCAGAACACATTCACATAGATGTTTATAGGTATGATTGGCATTAAACACTGTTTAATGTTTTTTGATACAGTATTTTAATTTCAGATTTTCAGGGTAATCTTAGTATTTTTGCTCCACAAATAATCTTATGTCAGCCAAAGTTGGAAGTTTTATATATGTAAGACAGGCCCAGTTGCTTGTGTCTAAGTTTCAGACAACCTGTGGTATGGCCCCATGTACAACTTCCTTTTCTACTGTTTTCCTCTCACTTTACACTGCAATATTACAGAATGGCTTGGAAGTTCTTACCCACCCAGTGCTATTTATTTTCTTTGATTTTTACATTTGCTGGTCCTTATGTCTGAACTTCCTTTTAACCTTTACCCCCAGGCTGATTTCTTCTGATATTGTAAGATTTAGATCAAGAGCTGATGGTTCTGGAATGGTTTTACTGCCCGGAGAATAATTCTGTCTTAACCAGTACTGTGTTATTTTGAAATAATTGACTTATGCCTTTCTCATTTACCAGACTGGAAAGCTTAACAGAGCAAGACACAATTTATGTTCTCACAATCATACTAGAACGTCTAAGTTTCTCTAAAAGTGTTTGTTGAATTATTTTTGATAGTATGTATAAAAAAGCTGTTTCAGAAGCAATGAAAGGGAATGAAGTTGAGAAGCTTGTTTGCAAGAAGTTGGAAAAAAAGATAAGTGGTATAAATAGAGGAGGAATCAGTATGTGAGGATAACATCTCGTATCTTTCACGGTTTAGAGACTTTGGAGGAAAGTAAAATTAGTTCAGAAAAGAACAAAAGAATGGTTTTGACTGAAGACAACTCGTTAAAGTAAAGGAAACAGGAAATTGACTAAACATGGTTAAGTGTTCTGAAAAGATCTTTGGAATAATAGCTCTGAGTTCTTAAGATAGACTGTACTTTGTGATATGAGATAGCATATATAGGTATGCAGGGGAGAATTAGGATTATAAGACTGCCCTAAACAAAAAAAGATACCTTATGTGCTGTGTGCAAGCCAGGAAATAACTGTTTAAGCAAGATTCAGAAGTTTTGACAAATAATAGTGACAATATTATAGGCAAAAAGATTTGAAATATAGGTGCTCTTAGAAGGCAAGCTGATTTCAGAGGGCTTGTGTCTCATTTGAATAATAATTCAAAAAATTTGTTTAGGTGTGTGCTTGAAAAACATCCACTAAATAACTTTGTATTCCACTTGAGAAAAAAGGAAGAGAAATGGAGTTTCTGGTTTTATCCCAACTGTTTGACTATTATATTATGCAAATTGCTTGCTGTTATAGTTTCTTTACCAATAAAGTGTACCATTCTTCCAACCAGGATGTTAATTCATAACTCAGTAATTTAGATAGTGCATCCATAAAATTGGTTTGAGATTATTGAGAAAAAAACTGTTCTAGAAATATAATGTTGATTTTATTGTAATAGTGTAAGTACCAAACTAGGAAAAAAATAACTGATGAAGTAACAATTTATTTTACATTTAACAAATTTATACCATACTTATAAAGTTCTAAGAAGTGCAGTTGCCTTTTGGAAGTAGTCTTGGTTCAATATTTAAATTTAGTAGTGTCATAATAGTGTTATGTGGTTAAAACTGAGAAAGTTAGGAGGTGTCATGCATTCGGGAGACCCCTTAAATTATTATGTTGTTATTCCTGAGAAGAAATGAAATCTTTTGTGTATTTTTATTCCTGGAAGGAGTGGTAAAAACTGGGAATGAAGAATAGAAAATAATTACAAATGAACATATGTTCAAATGGAAGCCTGTACTGAAACAATTGCCTAAGTGCTGAAGGAGTGTGGTGTATTGAACTTATCAGTGTGTGAGGAAGTTTTCAAGGGTTTGTTCTAGATATGAAAACTCTTTTTGAGAATTTTCTCAGTTTTATTGAAATACATTGTTACTTGAAAGTTAACCATAGTTTAACTTAATTTTTTTAAATATGGCAGGGATTTTATTTATCGATTCCTTCTTTCCTAGGTATTAAGTCTTTTAGAACCAGAGCTGAAGCACAAACAAAACCTTGCTAACTTTGTGTGTTATCTACTGGTTTGCTATGCTGGCAGAACATATGCTTTGAAATAAGTCTCTAATGCTACATGCATATGATTCCCCATTGACATACGGTGTTTATAATTGAGTCTCTTTTAGAAGGAATAAAATACTTATTTTTTTAAATACTAGAAAAATTTAGCTTTCAAAGGGTTAAGCAGTTAGACCCTTCACAAATTTAGAATCAAATTTTTTTCCCAAAAAAGTCACAATTTGGGCTTATGGGGGAAATTTTCATTTATGCATACCCCTAGGTACATCAGAAGATAAAGTCAATTATGTCACTTGACTTGAAAAACACATATTTTGAAAGTTGGTATGTTATTGAAGAAATAATTTCATTTTCCACAGTTAGTAGGACAATGATTTGCCTTTTTAGTGTGTTTTTACCTTTCATTTAGGAGAAAAAGGAAACATTTCAAGGAAAGCTTGTACTCTGTGTAACAAGGCATTAAGAAATAGTATACCTGGTGTTTTTGTATTTCTTTAGTGACATTCTGTAATTTAATATAATTCTGAGAAAAGGCCCAAATCTTTTACAGTATTATGAACAAATATTCTAGGCACCTTTTTCCATTACTTGGATTTCCTGTCCATATTTGATGTTGTGAATTGTCAGGTGAGTGCTTCCCACATCCAGCTTAAATTGGAAATGAAATGGTCTTGGAGTTTTGCAGTAAAAAAAATACTGAAAGGGGACTGGGAAACAATACAAGATACTGAGATATCATAGGTATACTTAATATTCGGAGGAGAGATTCTACAAAATTTTCGTGTGGTGGCAAACTCTGTCATAGACATGACCATACAAGGCTTTTGCCCAATTTGAAATCAAATGGTAATATTCTTGCTTTCATGACCGTTAAATTCTTTTGAACTCTTTTAAAACAGGAAAAAAAGAGTATATGCCCACCAGAACGAGATGTACTACAAGTGAGCAATCAAAGTATGGATCAAAAGATAAGAGGGATTTGGGTAGGTAATTTTAACACAGAAAGTAATGCCACATATTGGCTTAAGTTTTAGAAAAATTGTTATAACACATTGAAATGAGAGTTAAGCAGTTAGACCCTTCACAAATTTAGAATCAATTTTTTTTCCCAAAAAAGAGTTTGAACTATTTGGTAAAGATTGCATAGAAAGTGAGATAAAGGTTGAGGTTCTGTCCTTGGTTATATTGCTTGGCTAGCTTATAAATGCTTTAAAGCACAAGTGAAAATAGTCTAGTGCTCTCATCCCTACTTAAGATAAATCACTTTGTTAAAAACAGTTTAGGATTTTATTAATTAAACATTGATATTTTTCTTACTCCCCAAATTTGTTAAAAAATTAATTGTGAATAGAAAATACTATTATGATGGAAATTAAATCTCTCATTAGAGATTACTAATGCATAAAACTGATTTGATTATTCACCAAAAGTCAAGATTAAGCTTAAAAATGAGATGGTACAGTAGAGTGAAAGTTAGTTGTAACTGATTGGATGCAGTTAAGCTTATGTTCCATTAGTCATGTACTATAGAATGACTTGTATAATTTTATGAATTTTCTTTAATTTGAGGGCAGAATGATAGCTAAGGGCCAGAACATTTTGTTGACTAGTATAAAATATTCACTTCAATTTTTTTCACAGTCCAATTTGGAAAACACAGTAAAATTGATGAAAAACTCAGGAATGGCTCCTTTACTGTTCACTTTCCTTACTTACCAATGCTGCTGTTATATAATTTTAGCAGCTATTATGAAAAAAAGAACAAGAACATTTAGCACTGAACTGTTCAATATAGTTGCTAGGAATCACATGTGGCAACTTAAATTTAAATATAAATTAAAATTAAGTAATATTAAAATTCAGTTTCTCTGTTGCAGTAAACATATTTTAAATGTTCAGTAGTAGTTACATGTTACTAGTGGTTAACATATTGGACAGTTAAGATAATAGTACTTTTCTATGATAGAAAGTTCTGTTTGATGTCACTGTTTTAGAGACTCTAAAATCAGCAGTTGAGATTGGAAAAGTAGTAACATCTTAAAAGAGAGCTGACTAAGGGCAGAAGAGAATGGGAGAACGGAGTGGGAAACACCATTTATGTTGCTTAGATCCTCGTGCTTTTAAGTATTATTCTTTTAACACGATATCTTATTATGTTACTTGTCCTTTCACTTACGAGAAAATATTTTAGATGATGAAACATATGTTCTTAAGTCTTCTACTTGGTGCCACTGTGAAGATGGTTTACTAATTTTTATCTTTATTCCATGGTCTAGATAATAACCTTCTTTTGTTTAAAAAATATTTACTTATTGCTTAATATATATCAGGTACTTTTTAGGCCATTAAAGAAAACACAGAGTCTGAGTTTACATAGGGGGAGGACAGACAGTAAACAGTTACTAAATAATGTCAGGTAGTAGTAAGTTCATGAAGAGTGATTGAGCAGGGTAAAGGGACAGAACATGATAGGGGTGAGGTTGTACATCGGGCATGGGGTATGTGTTTTAGGTAGAGGTTCAGTTGGGCAATGTCTCTTGGGTGAGATCACATTTATATGGATACCTGAGTGAGGTGAGGAAGTAAACCTCCTGGTGGATGTGTGAGAGAAGTGCATCCCAGTTTGGGTCTTGAGACTATGTTTGGCCTAGGAGATGGTTAAAGGGGACAACCATGGTTGAAGCAGAATGAGTAAAGGTGAGACTGGCAGTATTCTCATTTCTGATCTCCTCCTTGACCATCCCTTTGCTCTCCCTGGGCAACCCAGTCCTTCTGGTGGCCCAGTGATTTTGTTTTTTAACAGCTCTTCCTAACCTTCCAAAGAAACATTTAGGTTGCAGTTCTACCAGTTTATGTATGCATACTTTTTCCTTCAGTTGTTCCTGCTCTTATTACAACTTTTGTCACTCTTGTTCAACAGTTTAACTCCTAACTCCCCAGAGTTCTTTCTACTAATATCACTCTGCTGCCTAGAAATCTTTGCTGGTGGTAAAGGTATACTTGGCTTATTGAAAAAAACAAAAGGGTTTCCCCTAGGTTCACCTTTATGTAGATAAGGAAAACAGTGGAAGAACTTTTTTTCTTCTAAAAATAAAAATCTTTACATATATTGTAGTACAGATTATGGACTAAACTGGCTTTTGTGAACTAACTTGGAAACCTTTTATTATTTAATATTCTACTTTCATGAGAAAATGAATTATGAGTTATAAACAGTGTATACATTTGAAGTCTGATTCATTGTTAAGTTGATGATTGCCTGTATTTTGGAGTTAGCAGAGAAATGTTTGGTAGTATTTAAGTTTTACTCAAATGGTTATTCTTTGGAAAGTAGGAGATTATGAGGGTGAGTGTTATATTTTGGTATATATGTATTTCTGAGTTTACAGAAACTATTTTAATTTGGGCAGTCTTAAAAGTAGATATTACTGTTTATAGGCTTTTGTAATGTAATTTACTATAGTGTTATTCAACTAATACATTTGTGCCTTTGAATTGTGTGCACACTAATGCCAGAGGTAAGGGTTGGTTAATACAAAGTTGGATGTTTTACCAATGTCCTCCCTTGGTACTGATATAAAAATATTCGTAATGCTTTGGTATTTGGATGGAGCTTTTAAAGAGGCTAAATTTTTATAATTGACTTTTGCCAACTAGAAATAGTTGACAGCCAAACTTATTTTCTCTTCTTTTTGAGTGTGTGCCTATAAGAAAATCATAGAGGGCTAATTTTCTTTGTGAAATTGATAGCTCATTACATGTTTTATGGAAGCTGTCCTTACTCCAGAAAAAGAAGAAATTCAAGTTTAACCATTCTATTAAAATAACATTTTACTTAATATTCTGGTCTTAAAATCATGTTTTGATATATGAATAGGTTATAATAGTCTTCTTTCAGGACTTCTGTATAGTTCTAAAATATCCTGTGGAAAGAAGAAGCTTGATGGTATAGTGGGAACATCACAGGGAAAAATTACTCTAATTATAGTGAAACTACAAATAAGAAATAAATCTCCATTGCTTAAAGGAAGAAGTCCCAGCTTTTTAGTTAAAGGCCAGTAGTCTCTGGTCAATCAATCTTTCTAGCATTAGAGATTATGCTTGTTTCTTTCCATTGCTAGTTTCTATTGCTTCTTTCTTTCTCTGCCCACAGTCATATTTCTGACACTAGATGTGTGAGATTTTTCCCATACCTATCCAGTTCTCTGACACCAGCTGGGTGTCCTACATTCAATTATGACAATAACTACCTTGAGTTCACATCAGATCCCACAGCTGAAGGGCTCAATCCCATAAAACTGCCCCCATTTTTATATGCCAGTCACAATTAGTGGGTACCCAGGTTACCCACATTTCTGTCTGACTTAGCTACATATTGGGAGTTCTCATGACCCCTTCCTCAAATTAGATAATTTGCTATAATGGCTCACAGAACTCAGGGAAACATTTACTTTTGTACAGAGTTTATTATATAATAAAATATGTGATACAAATGAACAGCCAGATGAAGAGGTACAGAGAACAAGTTTTGAAAGGGTCCCAGGCAAATGAGGTTCTGTGTTATGCAGTTGGAGTGTGCCACCCTCCCAGCATGTGCATATGTTCATCAATCTGGAAGCTCTCTGAGCTCTGTATTTTAGGGATTTTTATGGAGGCTTCATTATAGTAGACATGATTGATTATTAGTAACTCAATCTCCAGCACCTCTCTCTTCCCTGAAGGATGGGAGATGGGGCTCAAAGTTCCAGGTTTCTCATCATAGCTTAGTCTTTCTGGTGACCAGTCCTCATCCTAAAGTTATACAGGAGCCCACCAAGAGTCCCACCTCACTAGAACAAAAGATGCTTCTATCCCCCAGGAAATTAAAAGTGGTTTAGAACCTCTGTGTCAAGAAGTAGGGTCACCTAGCATCTTTATCACTTACCTTGCTCTTTGAATGAATTGCTTGTTTGCCTGTGTATGATATTACAGCATCCTAGATTGGTAATTTGGAAAAAATTTCCTTAAAAATGGTGGAAGAAAGTCTGCATTATAAAACAAATCAAAATTGTTAATATGACTTGATTTCACCAGAAAAGCCAAGTATTGGGAAGATACCAAACTCATAATGGTGTAAACAAGTTTTCCAAATTTCCAATTTTTGCTTGAATATTCCATGTAAGTCATTGGCAACAAGTGTTCTCACATTGTTCTCCTTCAAATGACAGGCTCACTTTATTTATTTTCAATAAAATGTCTGCCAAAAACTGGTCTGCATATCGTAGTTTGTAGTTTGTCAGTCGTTCTTTCAAGTAAAAAGTGTTCCAATGTAAAAAAACAAGCCATTTCAGCTTGCAACTCAAGCATTGCACTTGATTATTAGGATACAGCTTACTGTGCATGCCTACTATTTTGTCACATAGAATTAAAAGAACATTCTAGCTCTAGGAATAAGGGGGTTCCCTGCCTGGGGCAAGTTTTCTCTGAATCCAGTGAAACTGAAGGAGGACAAGGGGAAGGGCAGGTTGCTCACAGCTCACTAGGGTTCACTAGCCATCCTGTGTTCCATCTGTTCCCTGTGGCTAGGCGCTGCTCACTTCCCCTGCAGTCCCCTTCCAAGAGTACTCCATATGCGGGTCCCTGTTGGTGGGGCACCAGACCAGTTAAGTGCCAGGAATGGAAGGAAGGGGAGAATGGCCATTTTTTCTCCACCCCTTGCCCTGGTTGCTGTTCCTGCTGTGGCCTGTTCATATGTAAATGGGCCCTTATCCACACACTACAATGGAAGCCAGGTGGATGTTCTGGAGGAAACTTCCATTTACCCCACAACCATGTAAACCCATGTTTGAGATTTAATAAAATTAATTTCTCCCTTGTTATCAAGGATTTGGGTGAATTGTTTATACAAATTGGTGCTTTCTACCTTGATTTGTGATCAAAGCAGCAGTTTTATACACCATTACTTTGCATCATCAGTGCAAATGTGACCATAGTAGAAAAGGCAGGTAACATCTTAGTATTATTATGAGAATATTTTTTTTTAAGGAAGCCCTTTCCCTAATAAGACCATGGGAAATCCCAAGTGATCCGTGGACCACACTTGGAGAACTGCTAGTATGGAGGAAAGACCACTGGATTTAATAGTTAAAGACTTAAATGTGAAACCTGTCCTCCAATCACTATTCTTATGATCTTTTACTTCATTCTCACAACTTTTTATCTTATTTGTGAAATAGGGCTAAAAGCATCTTCCCCTTTATTTTTGCTTTTGTGGTTATCTTATTTGTGAAATAGGGCTAAAAGCATCTTCCCTTTTATTTTTGCTTTTGTGATGCTTGAGTTACAATTGCTAAATTATGAAAATCTCTAAATATAAGTTGTTATTTCTAAACAAGGTTCTGCTCTAGCTAGTTTGGTTTACTTGTCATTCGTTAAACAGTAAACACTCCAGATAGTTTCAAAGAGGAAATTTAATATAGGGGATTAGGTTCTTAAAAAAAAAAATCAGTGGGAGGACTGGAGGAGGGTTCTCTAGGTCAGCCTTCCAAAACAACTCCCAGATACTGGCAGGTCTGGCAAGGCAGGGAAGCTTCTTGCTCTGCCACAATCAGGAAGGTAGTGAATCGGGGGCTGCCCCTGGGATTACTGAGCTCAAGAGCATACCTCTAGTTGCAGCCCAGAGAACAAGCAGCCAGGATTATGAAATAGCTACTGAACTATGCCTAGACTTGGAATTAGACATTGGAATACAGAATCTAGTTGCCACTTCTATAACTTGACATCCTTGAAGCTGAAAATTCAACACTGCACTGCTGCTGTGGAATAATCCACATCTGCTCAGTCATGCTCTAGGAAAAAAGCCAAAGGCAGCAGTAGTGGCTTCCCACTCACTCTGCCCTCAAAATCTTGTGTTAGTGGACCTGGTTTGTGGAACCTAAGTCCAGAGCCTTAACTTCAAATGAATCAGGAAAATAGGTTTGTTTTAATCTTTCCAGCTGTGTAATTGAAGAAAGCCACTAGGAAGAAGAGATGGAGACTGAGGGCCAATTGATCATACACACTAAACTTGTTTTTCTGTTTCTTTGTAATTTTCAAATTATTTTCTTTGCTTCCTTTATTCTGTCTTTACTCATGCAAATCTTTGTCATTCTTTAATGACCAAGAAATTCTCATGAGGCCATTCACACCTTACTAGTCCTAGCTTCTTCATCATTGGTATTTAAGTTGGACTGGCTTCACCCAGGTAACACCCCTCTACAGCTGTGGTCTAGCTTAGGACGTCTTTGACCTGCTGGCATATGGAGGCGTGTTCTATCATTTCACTTGCTGTATACTTCTGTTCCACATTTTATTTGATTGAATTTTTTTGGATCCTACTTACTACATTTTTTAGGTTTATTAAATCCTCTGAGGACATTAAAAGAGAAATACCTTCCAGACTTAACTATTATTTCTAATATTTTTAATATTCTTGTAAACTACTGTTTGGGGAAAAAGTGTGGATAACAATAGGAGTAAACTTCTGAAGCTATCAATATAAATTCTTTCTTTCTTATTAAGTATGGAATATTCTTTTCTTGTATCTGGTTATAACTCTGTAGCCAGATGGTAAAATACAGGCACCATATCTCCTTATCCTGTACCCCTTTTTCTTTGTTTCCCTCTTGTAAAATTCTTTTATAAGCTTACAAAGAAAATAATAATTTTAACACATCTCCAATATAAATAAACAAGATGAATGCAAAACTTGTCATAAATCCAGTAAGCATAATTCCAGTCACAAAAAGAAGGCATTAACAGGTATAATTCTTTTTCTTTCTCATCATATTGTTTTATAATCCCCTACTAAGCAATATGTTTCCTGTGATAATGGGAGTATTATTGGCATCTTTTGGGTTAAGGAAATTGACTGATGCATATTGGGAAATTGGATTAAAAAGTGTTTTTTCTGAAGGTATTGTAATAGTTGTAGCCTTTATTCTTTGAAAAAGAATACTTAACAGCATTGAAAGTATTTTATTTTGTTAGAAAAGAATATAGTGTCATTTATTTATTTATTCCTTTTTGTGAAATGAAAACTACATGTTTATTAAATAATTCAGATAGTATAGAGAAGTGTTTAAATTGGAAAGTGAAAGTTCTTTATCCTTCCTCTCACTATAATCTTCCTTATTAAAATTAACCATCATTAACAGTTTGGTACATTCTTCCAGACTTTAAAAAATATATCTATAAACATATATACATCTGTGGTCAGTTTCTGAAACATTGATTTTGAGAGCCTATTTGTTAATTATTATACTTTGATAATGTCCAGGTAGCATGGACAAACTATAATTTGTGTGTATTTTGGTTAACTTTGAAAGGTATAAATGTAAATATTTAATTTTGTTGATTTCAATTTTTATTAGTGAAGAACTTGTTTTTAGCAGTCTTTCTGCTTATTAAGCTTTTAATTAGAGACTTCACAGTAAATATTAATATTCTTCTGTAATGAAAAATATTTGTGCTCTTGTTTTAGGTATATTCTGTAGAGAAGAACATTATAAATGGAACAAATTTAAAATGTGTTTCCATTCTCTTCAGAGAGGCTTTTCTACAGAATTAAGTTGGTTTTGACTTGGTTTGAAAAAATATATTGGTATAAAATCTGCGTGATAAGAATTACCTTTCATTTTGTTTGACTTTTAATTTTGAGAAAGATAGTTTTGCTTTTCAGATGTGATTGATCTCACTGGAGATGATAAAGATGATCTTCAGAGAGCAATTGCCTTGAGTTTGGCGGAATCAAACAGGGCATTCAGGGAGACTGGAATTACTGATGAGGAACAAGCCATTAGCAGGTAAAAGCATTATTTGTATAAAGTAGATGTATGTACTATTTATAATGGAAATAACAATGGCTTTAATTAATTTCAAGAGGCACAAAGACATACTTTATTATTCTAAATAAACCATGAATAAACTTAAGTATTGGTTTTACATTTGATGTAACCAAAATTCTGGTTCTGATTGCATTTGAAGCTTAGATATTTAGGATTTTTGAGTGGTTAATAGCAAATCTAGATGTATATTTTAATGTTCTTTTGATATTGTTTTTCCTTCCCTCAGTCCCTTTTGGATACCTTGTCCACTTCAGTTTATAGTAATTTATAGCAGGGGTCAGCAAACTTTTTCTGTAAAGGGCCAATAGTAAATATTTTAGGCTTTTTGTTGGCCATATAGTTTCTGTTGCAGTTATTCAACTCTGGTGTTGTAGTGCAAGAGCAGCCATAGATAATACATAATTTAATGAGTGTGGCTGTGTTCCAATGAATCTTCATTTACAAAAACAATCTGCCAGCTGGATGTGGCCCATGAGCTGTAGTTTGCCAACTTCCTATCTATATAGTATGATAGTATGTTCATATTTTTTTCTTTTTAAAGAACTTGGCAAGATTTCAAGATGTTTGATAGAATGCATCTTTTGATTTAACAACCAAAACTTTTTATTTTTAGTTTGAAATATTTTGATCCATCGAAGGATCAGATAGATTGATTTTATCATGAAACAGTGTTAGTATAAAAGAATAAAAGCTTTTAAGTTATAGCAATCTTCTAAACAACTCTTGGAGGCAGTAGTAATGCTGTCTTATTGACAACAGAATTTATCTTAAGAGGTTAAATAATTTTCAAAGGTACAGAGAGCTAAGGTGGATCTTATGAATTTAGTGGTCTTTTCCTTGAAGCACAATTGTTTGGTAGCAGAATGTATCAACTATTTCAGATAATTCCCTTTGACAGAATATCAGTGGTATATTTCTAAGTAATCTGAGGTTACTGTATGATAAGAGATGTCTCAAAGTGCTGTGTTTATTAGTAAAAGCACATAGTTTTTCACAGTAATGCTTTTTAATGTCTTAAATGTTAACTTTGGAAACTACTCTGTAAGACATCTTAAGATGGAAAGAATTAAAATCCACTGTCCTTTTTATTGTGGCTCATGTCATTTAATACTAATAATTTTAAATAAAAACCAAAAATACGTACACTACCTTTAGATGTCTAGGTAGGCTTATTGTGTGAAAGATGGGAGAAATTATAAAATTAGGTTTTGTTTTTAAAAATAGATTAGAGTGAAATAATTGTCTTGAATAACTATAAAATTTGGCAGTACTTAAGATTTGATGAGAAATGTTTTAAACATGGAATATATGAGTTGGATTTCATTTTTAAGGGGAATGCTCTATCATGTGAAAATGAGATTATAAAGTAGTATATTATGATATAAATATTTTAAGAAGTATATGTATATATTGTTTATATACATTTATATTAGTATACAAAAAGTCTGTAAGCTTCTATACCAAAGTGTCAGTTGTTTTATACCATGTGTTCTCTAAAATAACATGTACTAATTAGATAAATAAAAATAACTTAAAAATTAAGGGATTAAGAATATATTCCTAATCTGTTGTTAAATTCAGTAACATATGCAATAATAGTGACAATAACATTTTTTTTCCAAAAATATGGATAAAGTTTTTATGTATTTTTATGTAAAGTTACTTTGTAGACATCGAAGTCATTAATTTACTGTTGCATAATTTTTTCTTGACATATGTAGGTTTTATAATTTACAGTTGACAAAAAATGTTAAATATAAAATGTGCAGTTAATAACCACATGAGTAAATTATATTTTATAAGAAAAAAGGGAATTTGAGAATTCTTGATAAATATTTTGCAAAGATATATTCCTTCCTATGGGTTGTATTAAGTCTGAAGACTAAATTCAAAGGGGAAAAATGATGTATTTTTAAAGAAAAAATTGATAGATCATGCTTATGAGTATATTTAACTGTTTGTTCATTACCCTAGGCTAGATGACAAAATCTTGCCAAACGAAATTGTAGAATCTTTTGACTGATTTTATTCCAATAGACATACTTTAACATGAATTCACATATTTGTAATACTATATTATTGAGTAAGTATAATTAGATGGGAATAAAACCTGTCTTTCTATATCTTACAAGTCTGTGTTTAGGCACCCATAAATTTCATGGTAAAATGTAAGTGGAACATTTTGAAAGTTCTTTTTCTTAAATTACTTCTTAAAGTTTACTACTTAATATAATTATTCTTAATGTCAGTATTAGATATATTTATTTTAATAATGTTTTGGTTATCATTGCTTAGATAGGGAACAAATGGACTATGAATAGTTAAAATTTGCTAATAAACTACATTGTGACTGGTTTGTCTATTGCATGTATGTTGTGAAAATGGTTTGCCTCATGAAATGCCTTTGAATTAATTAGGTCGAAGGTAAGACTAGGAAGATCAGTAAAATTACTGCAAAGAACACATTTTCAGCAGATTCAAGAAATATGGTATATTAATAAATTTTATAGTGGAAACAAATAGAATGTGTTTCTATTCTTTGTCTTGGTTGTAAAATACTTTAAGATCTTGAAAATTACCGAGTTGTTAAGATAGTAAAGATTAAAATCAGACCAAATCAAAGTTGAGCAGGAACCCAAAGAAGTAAGTTCAGAGCACAGAAAATCACTTCTTGGAATGATAAAATTTGCTTGTGTATATAAACTTGAACTTCAGTTACGATATCCTTGTTGAATGTTGGAAAATGAAGTAAAGACCATTGTCTGTGTAAGGTGGGGAGCTTTAATAGGAGATCATTCCCCTCACTAAGTGGTTATGTCGAAGGATGACATATTTACACTAAGGGTAAATCAGGAGTATCCTGGCTCCAAAACCCCCTAGAGCACTACCAAGAATTGTTTTGGCTCTGAGGGTTGCTTTGGAGATGACCAGAGTTGTCCCTGATAATTTGTATAATAGTCTTGCTGCTGAAATTTGTGCCACTTTAGTGGTCCAATAAATCTCAACTTAGGAATTTAGTTTTAAATGATGTTGGATTTGTGTTTTTTCTAGATTTTGGCAGAATCAAGATTACATTCTTTCTTTTAGAAGGTGTCATTATCCTTGGCCTCAATGAATCCATTTCAGTAACTTTGGAAGATCTACAAGCACCACCAGTTAAAATTACCAAGCATACTTGGAAAGTCACTGTGAAAACCAGTGATGCAGTGATAATAGGCAGCAAAAATGTATCCATGTGTTTAAATACTTTCATTGATACAACTGAGCTTTGGCTTTTAAAGGAAATTAGAAATGCTTGAAAATATGACCTAACACATTTGAGAAAGAACTGAAAGTATCTTCTGGAAATAAACTTAGAATTACTAAAGTAAAGAAGAAATAAAAAGAAAGAAGGAAAGAAGGGAGCAGGGAAGTGGGAGGGAGAAAGGAAGGAAGGAAAAGAAGGGAAGAAGGGAACAGAACACGTTTAATATCAGATTAGAAATAGCTTAAGAACATATTAATAGACTGGAAGATAACATAAGAAGAAATTGTCCAATCTTTAACAGACATCTTAAAAAGATGGAAAGTATGGAGAAAGATTGAAAGATACAGAGACATAAATACCTCCTGTAATTGGTATTACAGTTAAAGAGAGGAGAGAGTGGGTCAGAGGCAAATTTTATTTATTTATTTATTTTTTAATATTAATTTTATTTTTATTTATTTATTTTTTTGGTATCATTAATCTACAATTACATGAAGGACATTATGTTTGCTAGGCTCCCCCTTTCACCAAGTCCCCCCAACATCCCTGTTCACAGTCACTGTCCATCAACATAGTAAGATGCTGTAAAATCACTACTTGTCACCAAATTCACAGTCACTGTCCTTCAACACAGTAAGATGCTGTAAAATCACTGCTTGTCTTTTCTGTGTTGCACAACCCTCCCCATGCCCCCCCAACACTATACATGCTAATCGTAATACCCCCTTTCTTTTCTTCCCACCCTTATCCCTCCCTTCCCACCCATCCTCTAAAGTCCCTTTCCCTTTGGTAACTATTCATCCATTCTTGGGTTCTGTGCTTCTGCTGCTGTTTTGTTCCTTCAATTTTCTTTTTTTCTTATACTCCACATATGAGTGAGTACTTGGTACTTGTCTTTCTCCGCCTGGCTTATTTCACTGAGTGAGTACTTGGTACTTGTCTTTCTCCACCTGGCTTATTTCACTGAGCATAATACCCCCTAGCACCATCCATGTTG